GTTGAAAATAATGGGTTTCAGATTTGAGGGTTGGGTAAAAATGAATCTTGTCCCCTGCCCCAAAACACTCTAGATACGCCCCTGCTAGTGGCGTCAACATAAGGCGGATGGGGTGATCCATCCAGGTGTAAGTTTTTCTTTATACTCAGGTGTGGCATTTTCAGAGTTTGTATCGTGAAATAGAAGGTGGCAAATATATTTGGCCACGCATGGCAGCACTAATAATAGCTACGCCACTAGCCAGTGTATCTATCGATACTGAAATCAGCGACCATTTTGATCGGTGGAAGGGTCTGGGGAAAATTGTTTATTATTTCAAAATAAGAAGATGCAACAAAGGAGTGAAGAGGGTGTAGCAACATCAATTCCAGAGGAAAAAGGCTCAACAGCAAAGTCACGCTTGGATGGATGGATGGATGGATGATGTGGATAGGTATCAACATCAGCTTGGAATCGAAGTATGGAAAAAGAAAAGTCATCAGTTAGTTCTGAGTGGAAGGATGTGGAGAGGCCCGGATGTGCTAAGTAGTGAGCCGAAACCCCTATGATAATGCATGCATGCGAATGAGAAGCATGGGACATGTAATAAGTGCTTTCATTATTGAATTGATCGTTGTGAAACGGACCCAAAATGATGAATTTAATTTTGAATTTTGTAATTGTAGTTGAAATAACAACCCCCCCCCCCTTCCCCTTCCGATGCCCACATGCCTGTATTACAACGCATCTACATAATGAAAAACATTTTTTTAAATTAATGGGCCCAACTGTGTTACCAACTCAACTGTGCCGTTGATGTCAAAATTCAGAGTGAGTCATTAAAAAGCGATCGTTTGATGGTTCAAATGTAAATTCACATGAGAAGAGTCTCAACCATTTAATCATTAAATCATCATTTTTAATATAAAAGGGACAGGATGCCCGAGACGACCATCTGACTTAATCGTATTAAGATTGTAGCGGTAATTACAGACAGAATGAAGCTTCCAGTTCTACTCCTGGTTTTTTGTTTTGGCTCGTGGACAAGTGGAGATGACTCTGAATGGAGAAAAGGTATTTGAGAGAAAAGTATCTCACGTATGTATGAATCGAGCACACACACTTCTTTATGTATGGATTTATGTACGAAGTCCAGTTTTTTGGCTCGTGGACAAGTGGAGATGACTCTGAATGGAGAAAAGGTATTTGAGAGAAAAGTATCTCACGTATGTATGAATCGAGCACACACACTTCTTTATGTATGGATTTATGTACGAAGTCCAGTTTTTGACGTCAAAATAATTTTTCAATAAGTGTATAAGTATATTAATTAAGAATTTGGCCTCTTATCATGAAATGAGGCTTTATAAAAACAAAATGATTATTAAAATAAGGTTAATTTTTATCAATATTTTTTTTAAAAATTTGAATCTGTTTATTTAATTATATAGTACTAGAAAGTTTAACTTGGTGTTACAGGTGTAATAATGGCAGCCAAATTTCGTTTTTATGTCTCAACATCATAAAATCCAATTTTTTTTCATTATGTAACTTAATGGCGGTTTGATATATTGTATCCTCAAAAAATAATGGCAGTATCAACGACCATGTATTGTATGTTTATTAAATAGTAAATAATCATTTCTTTTTAAAAAGAAGTATTTATGTGTATATGTTTACGTTTCTAACTCCACCGTGTTTTGAGATATTTGTATATTCTATATTACAGGCCTGCACAACTCAAAATGTTAGGCGGGCTGCAATACTTTATGAAAACTTGTTCTGGCTAAAAGAAAATAGGACAGGGGAAAGCTATTAAAAAAATAATCAGAATAAAGAACTTTTTGTTACATCGCGGGTGGGTGCTGGTGGGCCGCATACGGCACGCGGGCCGTATGTTGTTCAGGCCTGCTATATTACATAGGCCTACTCAATGAAATTTCCAAACCTGAATTACAAAGAATATATTTCTCTCTAAAATTGTCAACGCAGGAAAACTATAAAATGAAAATCTGTTTAACATTAAATAAAAACCCGGCGGTGACATTTAAGTAATTAGTTGACTGATTAGTAGCCTACATTTCTTAAAAATGGTACCAAACATTTTGACTCGCTCCTGAAACTATATAATCGGAAATTCGTTTGAGAAACAGAAACATTATTTATCCAAAAGAAGAATTTCTTAACCGATTTGTGATCTCTAACATTTTTAAAAGAAAAAAATCGTCATATACTATTTCATCCCATCCTGTCATTTGTGGAAATTAATTTAATTTATTTATTTTAATTCGATATTAATTTATTAAAATTAAAATAAATCTGAAAATATTCAACGGATGAAAGCTAGAAAAATAAAATGTTAAATTATTTAAATTGTTTAAAATCAGTTTTTCCGTTTGATTGTGTGCTATACGATTACACTCCAACGCTATTAGAATCCCCGGTACCGAAAAAGTACATTACGTAGTCACGTCAGCTAGATGTCAAGCTAGCACATTAGCTCTTTATGACCTTCCCCGATCTCCCCCTCCCCCCCCCCAAGCCTGAGTTATCGGACCGCGAGGCGGCACGCTGGAGATCCCCTTTCGCCAGGGCAACTCCCGCCAGCACACACTTGTGGTACCGAAAAAGTACATTACGTAGTCACGTCAGCTAGATGCCAAGGTAGCACATTAGCCCTTTATGCCCTTCCCAGGTCCCCCCCCCCCCCCCCCCCAAGCCTGAGTTATCGGACCGCGAGGCGGCACGCTGGAGATCCCCTTTCGCCAGGGCAACTCCCGCCAGCACACACTTGATCGAGTACGAACGGAAGCCCGAGGAAATCCGGTGGGCCGGAGACTCTGCTCTCATTGTCGGGCTATAGTTTTTTGTGCTGATACTAGTCTCTTGGGTTGAACAGCCCCAACCATATCTGCTACTTCCTTGATCACTGATGATCTGATTTGGAGCTCAGAATGAAGCGATCAATACACTCCAGCATCTCCCTAGCTTTTTCTCCTCACAGGAAGATTCCAGCATCTATTAATTTTTCTCCTGCCATTCTCTTCCTTAACCTTAATCCTCTTTCTAACGAAATTCCATTTTGGTCTGAGTTTAAAAGTGCCGTTTCAATAGCATGTTCCACAAAGTGACGGCCCTTTTCGTGCAGAAAAAATGTTAAGGCCTCTACGTTTGTAACCACTTAGTCAAGAGTAAAGCCTTTATTGTTGAGATGCTGCTGTGTAAGATTAACTTCCTCCAGTAGATAAACCCAAAGGTAAAGGTAGCACATAAACGTGAAATCACAGACAGCATGTAAAAGACATTGTGCTGTATCTCTTGTATCCAAATTTTCAAGAGGATTACGTGGAGCTTTAATCACCGCCACACATTCTTCAATCTCGTATTTCCCAGTTTGAACAAGGAGCACTCCAACGCCTTGCTGACAGTCTTTTCTCCGACATTCCAGTGTGTTCAAATAGAACATGCCATCGATAAGTTGATGCAGCAAAGAAGGAAAATATTCTTTGAAGAGTACCGAAAATAAAATACATGAAGCATGTTCTGCAAGAGAGTGTTGAACACACAAGTTAAGTTAATGGCCCACACATCCATTAAAATTTACCTTTCCTATTATTTCTTTTCAGAATGACCTTAACACACACATGGATTCCTGCCATTGTGGCAGCATTATCTTAACCTTGAGCACTGACACATCATAATGTCTAGTTTATCTCGTTTTAGATTTGTAAAAATGTCAGAAGTGAAGTCATCTGTTGTTTTTTTTCCATCTTAACGGGAAAAGGGCAAGAAACACTTCTCTCACTTCAACATTCCCAATGTGGAATTTCACATATCTGATCACTTCAGACATCTGGACCCTATGTGATATGTCAGGTGTATTGTCGATCATAATTCCAAAATTTTTGGCAGCCTTTATATCCATGAGAAGATTATCCTTCACATGATTTGCAAGGACATTTATAAATTCATTTGGGGTTTCTGATGAAAGGTAAGATCCGGATGCTTTATCTGTAGACGTCCTCCTCGTCAGTCTCATTTGATGCTCTTTTAGCACTGGGTCATACTTAGATAGCATCTTAACCATTTTAAGAAAGCTTGAGCAAAGATTTATCTTCGTTTTGGCCATGAAATGCCAGATCTTGATTTGCAAGAAACAATGTGATATCCAGCAACCTGTGCAGGATATCCTTGCAGATCAACTGCCATTCCCTGAAGAATTTCTTAAAGTCTTACTCCCACACTATTTGTGAAGATGCTTGTTGTAATACCTGCTTGTTGTCTATTTGTGACGGAGATTGTCGTATCTCCATGGAGTCTGTTTGTGAAGGTTTTTGTTCTAACACAATGGAGTCTGTTTGTGAAAGGTGTTTGTTGTAATACAATGGAGTCTATTTGTGAAGGTGTTTGTTTTAATACAATGGAGTCTATTTGTAAAGATGTTTGATGTAATACAATGAGGTCTATTTGTAAAATTGGTTGTAAGACAATGGAGTCTATTTGTGAAGGTGTTTTTTTTAATACAATGGAGTTTATTTGTGAAGGTTTTTGATGTAATACAATGAAGTTTATTTGTGAAGTCGGTTGTGAGACAATGAATTCTATTTGTGAAGGTCTTTGTTCTTACACAATGGAGTCTATTTATGAAGGTATTTGTTGTAATACAATGAAGTCTATTTGTGAAGGTGTTTGTTGTAATACAATGAAGTCTATTTGTTAAGGTGTTTGTTGTAATACAATGAAGTCTATTTGTTAAGGTGTTTGTTGTAATACAATGAAGTCTATTTGTTAAGGTGTTTGTTGTAATACAAAGGAGTCTATTTGTGAAGGTTTTTGTTGAAATACAACTGAGTCTATTTGTGAAGCTGTTTATTGTTATACAATGGAGTAAATCGTGTGAAAACCCTGAACCAGCTTTTGATTTGACAACGTCTTACAAGCTACATTCTACATAACAGATCACCTGGGACTAAAAAAAAATATTAGACAGGTTACATTACCGATTGAATTTCTTCACTTCCAGAACCTTCTAAAAGGCTGCTTACGTTCCTGGCCTTGGTTAGTGGTCAGGTCACCAATGTTAAAGAGGTCAACATGGAAAAAATCGAATGGGCCGAGCCGGAACATGACGTCATCCTCGCTTCTCTTAGACAAGTTTTTTTTCCAGCCCTTCCAAATGTAAGTTGAAAAAACGATGTACGATTTCAGGGACTTAAGATACCTCGATTTTTTAATGATGTTTTTTTTTTGATGAAAAGGGGGGGGGGTTGGGGAAGGGGAGTTTGAGGGGGAGTTCAAGTAAGATATCAAAAGTAAGTGGAAAAAAAGAGGTACGATTTCAGGGACTTAAGATACCTCGATTTTTTAATGATGTTTTTTTTTTGATGAAAAGGGGGGGGGGTTGGGGAAGGGGAGTTTGAGGGGGAGTTCAAGTAAGATACGTAGAGCATTGGATAGATGGACGGAGAAAGAGACATACTCTGCCTGATATTGTTATATGAAGTGATCATGGGACTGGATCCGGCCATCCCAGCAGGCATGTACCTCACCCCAGAGAATCCGGGTAGACTGATCAGAGCAAAACGCTCACTGAACACCGAATTCACCACTGACAATCGCATAAACAATTACACCAGAAACAATAGCAAATGCTTCAAAGTGCCTCAGTGCAACACAGTGCAGTATCAACAATCTTTCTTCCCACGCACAGTAATAGCATGGAAACATCTGGACGATGCCACTGTGAACTCGACATCGGTCGAAAGCTTCAAGGCTGCCCTGGTATTAGCTAAGAGCTGTTAGACTAGCAACATCATTTCCCAACCGTTGCACAGATGCCAGTATATGGATGCAGCAACGAACACTACCACAACCAGAAGAGAAAAGAGAAAGATCGAGAGAGATTGGGAAAAATACAAAAGATAAATAAATAGAAAGAGACAGAGCGAAAGGAGAGAGATAAAAAATATGTGGATAAAGGAGAGAGGGTGAGAGAGACAGAGAGAAAAAGAGAGAGTTTATCAGTAGCATTGAGTGGCGTAGCAAGTCTCTACACTTTACGGTTTACACAAAATTTTCAGGAAATCGTATTATTACTGGAAGAGTCTGTCAACGCGGTCCTATACAGGTTGCAGATTGTGATAGTCAGAGAGGGCGACCTGGGCATCTTCAGTTTGGAGCCACACAACTTTACGGACGTCAACAAGTATCAGTAAGCAAAGTTTAAAAAAACAAACAAATGTACTTTAAACCATTTTTTGTACGTACTTAGCTGAGGAACGAATAGCTGCTCTACTGGCAGGTAAATATGTTGAATTGTCCTCCATTTCATCTTTCCAATACCCTCCTCCCTCTTCAACCATGTCTTCCTCTTAAAACTAACACATCCCCTTATTTATTATGTACTCACGATTTCCATCAATCAAACCCTTACGCGCTGGAGCCCGTGTAGGGCTTTGGTCAGCCTCACCACTTCCTTCCACTCAAACCTGATGTTTTTCTTCTCCGTGTTTGGATAGCTGCTGTAGATTTGTTTACACATCAGCTGTCCCTCTAAGCCTAGGTCTAACTTTGAACTGTTTTCGCTTCATTTTCTTCATACATATCCATCCTTTCTTGGGCCATATATTTCCTGAATAACTTTTCTCTCCCTTGTTTTTTATAGATTTTTGTAAAGGATCCAAGTTTCATTTGCATTTTACTGCTTGTCTTATTAAAGTTTTATAAATATTTGTTTCTCTTCTTTTCTTGTGATGTTTTTACTATTGATAATTCTGTGACTACTAAAATATGCCCTGTTTCCGCCCGATATTCTTTATTTTATTTCTGTTAGAGGGTCATTTCGTTGATTAAGGTAAGAATTCTAGATATTTGGGTTGGTTTTCTTTTCAAAACATGTGGTGCTTAATTTAAATGGGGCACTTCTGGCTGTTTTCTCTTAACATACACTTCTCTCCTCATCACACTCCACGATTCCTCAAAACTTTCCACTATCTTTCAACGGGTTCAATTTACCCTGCGACCCCTTGACCTTCCTTACCTCGTCCCGGGCTATAACTCTAAGGACTTTAACTGCAACTGTTACATAATACCGAGCACGTTGGGTTAGCTCTCTCTGGCTAATCATGCGTACCACTCAACAGTCAATCGAGGCGATCTACGGAGCAGATCACAGAGTACTATCGTCCCACACTTCCACCCACTTGCTACTACCTTCTCAAAATTTAGCCCAACAATTCCACCTAATTTGATCTACCTTCCTAACAATTCAACTAACTTAGCACTACCTTCCTAACAATTCAACTAACTTAGCACTACCTTCCTAACAATTCAACTCACTTAGCACTACCTTCCTAACAACTCAACTCACTTAGTCCTACCTTCCTAACAATTCAACTCACTTAGTACTACCTTCCTAACAACTCAACTCACTTAGTCATACCTTCCTAACAACTCAACTCACTTAGTCCTACCTTCCTAACAATTCAACTCACTTAGCACTACCTTCCTAACAACTCAACTCACTTAGTCCTACCGCACCAATAATTTATTTGATTTTTAACCCACATCCGCGTCCCATAAATTTTGAGGGCCCACGACAACCTCCACCCACTCCAGACCACCAGCTATTTGGTTTGAGCCAGTTAAGACCGCTCGGCCACCCAGCACCCAGGGTGCAATGTATTGACTTCCCTTGGCAAGATGGAGCTGATAGGGAGAGCGTTTAAAAGCACCTAGGGTAAAAAGCCATATTGAACACCTGTCAAAACAATCACACAGGCAGACATAGCGTCGTGTTGTGTTAACATAACTTAAATATTGTAAATGTAAGATTCTAAAAGTATGCAGCATTTAATTACGTCAGGTCTGTTCAGTTTGACGTCACCAAAGACTTTGATAACGTCAGTGTCGATGACCTGAGCCCCACCCGACCAGAATGTGAGTTATTTTTCATGCAGACCGATGTGAATGTGTACGTTGGAACTTTCCCCGACTGCAATCACATTGTCGACGGGGTGAGTGTTTACATTAATTTCTATTTACAAAATAACTTAATGAAATTGTAGTCCAAGGGACATGCTTTCGTATCTGTATTATTTGTAAACCAATTTTTAACTCTTAAAAAATTGATCGAGCATAGAATAGGCACTTCTGAGCACTTTGAATGCTGCCCGATATTATAAGACAATTGCAAAAATTCTTTGCTCAGCTTTCCAGAGAAAAGCTTATCTATATATATATATATATATATACATATCAATTTGAATTATCGATTTTCATAACGCGGTATTCACCATTTTCGAAAAACCGAAGAAAAAAGATCTTCTAAGAGCAAACCAGGTTACTTTAGGACAGTGGCGTCACCAACTTTTTTTTTGGCCGCGGGCCGAATAACGGACACAATGACGAGCATGGGCCGGATAATCATTATGTACAATACTTGCAAGCCAGAACGAAAGCTCTGTGAAAAAACACGAAAAAGTAAATTTAGTCTTCCATGTTAATCATGCGTGAGTGGCGTGCAATTTTAATTTTAAAAAATGTAAAAAAAAACAAAGACAGCCAGCATATTTATTTACTAAAAAAGTTATAAAAGGAGGTGACGTTAGCCCATGGGCTGTAGTTTTGTGACCCCCAGCTTTAAGACTTAGCAAGGTTTATTTACAAATCACTTTCTTTCGTATTTTTATTTTCCTACTTCTAAAATATGTTTTAATTTTAACTGCTTCTGCGGCATTTTGCGCAAATGCACTAAATATCACTAAGTGAAACAATTAAAAAAAAAACAAAACAATTTTGTCTAGAATTCAGATTTATAAAGACAAATCATGCAAAGTAGTTAACACATTACACTAGTGGTTCTCAAACTTCCTAATGCCGCGACCCTTTAAGACAGTTTCTCATGTTGTGGCGACCCCTAGCCACACAATTATTTTCGTTGCTACTTCGTAGCCATTAGTAAATGTGTTTTCAGATGGTCCTAGGCGACCCCTGGGAAAGGGTCGTGCAAACCCCAAAGGGGTCGCGAGCCAGAGGTCGAGACCCGCTGCATTACACTATTACAAGGGATTTTTCAGCATTTGAAATAGTGTTCTGTTAAATAATATATCAATAAAACGCATTAATCATACACAATTTTATAATATATCTTATACAATTTAATTTAATTTGGGTATGTAAGTGGTTTGTAATTTATAAACAAACTGAAATAGTTGGTGCTGGGAATGTTATCCTTTCAAAATGGATACAACAGCATTTTTTCGTTAAGTAATAGTGGGATACACAGCATTTTTTCGTTAAGTAATAGTGGGATACACAGCATTTTGTCGTTAAGTAATAGTGGGATACACAGCATTTTGTCGTTAAGTAATAGTGGGATACACAGCATTTTATCGTTAAGTAATAGTGGGATACACAGCATTTTGTCATTAAGTAATAGTGGGATACACAGCATTTTGAAACAAAATAAGAAATGAAACCAAAGTAAATAAATACAATTTAAATAACCTATATCTCAATTTTCGTCAAGGTCTAACTTATAATTTAAATATACAAGTAAACCTCAATTAACACTTACTTTAAGAGGAGAAGAGGATCCCACCGGGAAACGGGGATCCTAACGGGACCGGATTCCCACCTGAAAAACGGGGAAAAAAGTAAAATTGACCCCTTCTTGGAAATGGGATCCATCAGGATCTCGATTATGTCGGGATCCAAAAGGGGTTGGGATCCCATTAGGATATGGGTTCCTATTTGGTAGCGGGATCCCATAGCGGGGACGAGAACCCGAATGGGGTCAAGATCCCGAACGGGATATGGGATCTCATTTGGAAAAGGGTTCCCAATCGGGATCGGAATCCCAGTAGGGTCAGGATTACCATTTGGAAACGGCATCCAAATCAGGATTGGAATCTCAATGGGGTCGGGATCCCAATGGGAATGGGATCGGGATACCACGGGGATCAGAAAATCGACGGGATTGGGAACTCATCGGGTGAATTTTAAAAAATCAAAACATGTCTATAGGGTACGTCCAAATTTTTGAAAAACAGAGTAGCTTGCTTGTAGTTGCCGTCTACTTTTATCAATTTGGATTGGTTTGAAAATCATGTTTGTCGTTTCTAAACTCGATTCCAGCAAGTTAATTAGCGCTTATTAACAACAGATCCGATAATAACGTTTTTAAAATAAGAAGTAGGCCAGTATTTTTACTCTGAATAATTTATTTCCTCTTAATTCACGGTGACCTCATCCGATCCCTTTTTACTTATCCAAAACATAACAACCGCAAATGATTTGAAAGCGGAAATGTTATTCACCAATCCATTATGCTTTTTTTTTCTCCGAAAATAAATATTTTTTTCCTTGGTGATCTTACCTCATAGCCGTATGTCAAACTGTATTGATAAAGCTCATTTATGTTTTTTTCTAATAGTAAGCTCCCTTTTATTTTTTGGTATAATAACTTTAAAATATACGTTCATTTTCACAATGCATAACGTCATATGTCACATGCGTGACTTCCTTTTAACGTGTATATTTCAAGACTTTTCTCTTATTCAAACACTACAGAGACCTGTCAATTACGCCGTGACATTCTCTTGTAAAACAATGGCCGTATTGTTGTACTCGGAGCAGGCCAGAGAGGTCCCCAGCCCCCTGCCTTACACCAATCGATTTACGACCAGGTAAAGAATGCAACATTTGAGTTTATCTATGGAGACTTTACTTGGGAGAATATAAGGATAAAGTATGTGACGCAACTCGTAACCCTTTTTTTTCCTTTATCTATAAGGTATCCACTTCTGCCATACGTCACTTCCGGAGCTGAGCATTTCCTCCCACCTTGTAACTGTCAATGAAGGAGGCGGAGCTTTAATATCTATTTAAATTTGTATGATGCAGTAGTAATTAATCTTTGATTAATAGTAGCTGTTTAATTTTTATTTTAAAAAAATGTCTTTTTTTTTTTTAAATGGAATATTTGAAATAAAAATAAAAGTTTAAAAAATATAACGATACATTTAACTCGTTGACTATTTTGTGTGTGGCCTAGTTGTCACTGCAGGTGTAGACGACACTTATCAGTAGGTAGTATCGATCACAGTACAGTCCTTAAAACCTAGGTATATGCAACTGTACAGTACTTACAACTATTTATCAGCCAATGTACAGTATTTACTACTTAGGTATAAGCTAATGTACCGTACTTACCACCTAGGTGTTAGCAAGTGTACAGTACTTAACGCGTAGGTATCAGCCACTTTACAGTACGTAACACCTAGGTGTCAGCCACCGTACACACCTTACCAACTAGGGATATGCCACTGTACAGTACCGACCACCTAGGGATATGCCACTGTACAGTACCTACCACCTAGGGATATGCCACTGTACAGTACCGACTACCTAGGGATATGTCACTGTGCAGTACCAAAAAACTAGGGATATGCCACTGTACAGTCCTTGTCACCTAGGTATATGCCACTGTACAGTACCAACCACCTAGGGATATGCCACTGTACAGTACCGACCACCTAGGGATATGGCACTGTACAGTACCGACCACCTAGGGATAAGGCACTGTACAGTACCGACCACCTAGGGATATGCCACTGTACAGTACCGAACACCTAGGGATATGGCACTGTGCAGTACCGACCACCTAGGGATATGGCACTGTACAGTACCAACCACCTAGGTATATGCCACTGTACAGTCCTTCCCACCTAGGTATATGCCACTGCACAGTACCGACCACCTAGGGATATGGCACTGTACAGTACCAACCACTTAGGGATATGCCACTGTACAGTACCGACCACCTAGGGATATGGCACTGTAAAGTACCCACCACCTAGGCATATGCCGCTGTACAGTACTTACCACCAAGGGATATGGCACTGTACAGTACCGACCACCTAGGGTTATGCCACTGTACAGTCCTTGCCAACTAGGTATATGCCCTCGACAGTACCGACCACGAAGGGATATGCCACTGTACAGTACCGAACACATAGGTATATGCCATTGTACAGTACCGACCACCTAGGGATATGCCACTATACCCTACCGACCACCTAAGTATATGCCACTGTAGAGTACCGACCACTTAGGGATATGTCACTGTACAGTACTTACAACCTAGGTATGCGTCAAATACAGCACTTGCCATCTAGGTAAATACCAACGTACATACCTTACCACTTAAGTGTCACCCAATGTACAGTACTTACCACCTAAGGATATGCCACTGTACAGTACTTACCACCTAAGGATATGCCACTGTAGAGTACCAACCCCCTAGGGATATGTCACTGTACACTACCGACCACCTAGGGATATGCCACTGTACAGCACCGACCATCTAGGTATATACCACTGTGGAGTACCGACCACCTAGTGATATGCCACTCTACAGAACCGACCACATAAGGATATTCCACTGTACAGTATTTACCACCTATGTATTAGCCACTGCACACCCCTACTAATGTTTTTTCCAAAAATCTCCCCCCCCTGTTTTGGGGGGAGGGGGGCTTTTCAGCAGTTTTTAAAAGGTTGGCTTGATTGCCAGTTGCCAGGGACCAGAGGCGTGTGTAATTGGTGACAGATGGGACATACGTTACGGGACGCCAGACTAGTTGGGGGATAGGATAGGATTTGATGGCATTTAATGGTTGAAAATAATGGGTTTCAGATTTGAGGGTTGCGTAAAAATGAATCTTGTCCACTGCCCCAAAACACTCTAGATACGCCCCTGCTAGTGGCGTCACAATAGGACGGATGGGGTGATCCATCCAGGAGTAAGTTTTTCTTTATACTCAGGTGTGGCATTTACAGAGTTTGTATCGTGAAATAGAAGGTGGCAAATATATTTGGCCACCCATGGCAGCACTAATAATAGCGACGCCACTAGGCAGTGTATCTATCGATACCGAAATCGGCGACCATTTTGATCGGTGGAAGGGTCTGGGGAAAATTTTTCATTATTTCAAAATAAGAAGATGTATTTCAAGGTATACTTAAATTCAATGTTATTATTAGACTATTTGAACGGAGAAGGAAATCTTCTAGAGTTTATGAAAGGCATAACTCTAACCCTAACTCTAACCCTAACCAGGGCCATACGTAAACTGAATTCACTCCGGTTGTGGGGTGCCCCAGCGTAATCCTTTACACAAGCAAAAATATTTAACCCCATAATGAAGACTGATACGTTTGTGGGAATGGGATGCAGAAATTTGGGGTGCTAAAGTCAGTCGGGCAAACTCAAAACGAATTTTGGTGCATATTTGAATTTGTTGTTTCTTTCACACACTTTTTAGGTGGCATTTCAACTTATGAAAAAGAGGGGGGGGGGGTGCCAAAATTAGTTATAATAATGATCAAAGACATCTTAAATTCCGTAACAGCTGGAGGTAAAAAACAACTTAACTCTAGTTGTGTCCCTCCTTGAGGGTACGCTTTTGCCCTAGGTTATTCTCGTTCCTGATATCTTCATGGTACCCAGAAGATTTTTGATGGATTTGAACCTACAAGAAGGCATTTGATCACATATCTGAATTTAGTTTTGCATCATCCTACACTTAATTCGAAAGCAAAGGAAGAGGTGCTAGTTAAAAACCTAGGTGTCACCTAACATTAGAACCATCGTGTGCACCCAGCAACCCCTACGACTGTAGTGGGCCTCAAATATTTTATCGCTTTTTAAGATTTGACGAGGATATTTTCTTACTTATCATCTTTCATGCAAAAAAAGTGGGGGAAAAGGGGGGGGGGGTGGTGAAAAAGTGCTTAATTTAAACCTGCTTGTGTTATGCAATTCAAAATTATTTTATATTACTAAAAATATAAATTTTTCTTTTACTCTTTTTATCTACATTATTTTGGGGGATGGCTACTTAATTAATAGATACATTTTAAAACATAAAATTAAATACATAAATCGAAAAGGTTTCCCCACTAAAAATACTTCAAATATTTTATATCCTGAAACTAAATGGAAAGAAAAAACTTACTTATAATAATAATTAGTTACCTTTTGAAAAAGAAAAAAAAAATTGAAAATATGTATATATTTTTATCTGCTTTAAAAAACTAGTCATTTTTAGCAGTGGTATAGGAAACATCATACATATTTTAAGAAGACATGAGTTGTTTACAGAAGAAACTATATATTTACTTGTACGTGATTTTATCCACGGAAAATCGGATGCACAAAAAAAAAAAATAATAGAAAAAAAAAATAATAATAATAATAATAATAATTTTATATTTTAAAAAGACATGAGTTTTTTAAAAAAGAAACTATATATTTACTTGTACGTGATTTTATCCAAGGAAAATCGGATGCAAAAAAAAAAAAAATAATAGAAAAAAAAAATAATAATAATAATAATAATAATTTCCCAATATTCAGTAGATTGGGAAAAAATAAAGTAGGGTCCCGCTTCCAAAAAATTGCAATTTTAGTTATCTCTAAGAGTCCCCTGGGATCACTATAAAATCATTCAGATAAAACGTATGTTACTTTTCAGATTGATCCCACTAAACTGAATTTAGAAACATGTTGCCTTTTATATGTTAACACCGAGCCAAAAGAATTTAATCTTTAATATTTTTTTTTTACTGCATTGAGTATTTTAGGTTAGATTAATGAAACAAACTATATTTGAAAAAATTGTCAGCTAACGGACTTAGCCCTACCATCCCACGTAATACTACCGTCCGAAAAAAATTAAACCATTTAGATCTACGGCCCCAAAAATTCCATCCACTTAGTACAATTTAATTTCATTTTCCAGCCACCATCTCCCCCGGGGAGTAATCCGGCAAAAGTCCTTTAAGAAAGTCATTAATCATGATGGTATATTTCGTATTCTATTATACAACCTTGTCCTCCAGATGTGACTTTTAGAAACATTATTTTGCACGAAATCTGCCTTCGAGACGATCAATGGAGTCAGAGCTTCCATTCCTTTAGATGAGTGTTGGGGATTGTTTTTTTTTTGTGTTGTTGTTTTGGTTTTTGCTTTTCTTGGGGATTGAACTCCAGACCATCACCTCTTTGGATTGAGTCAGTGTAGACCACTCGACCACTCGACCACTCGGCCACCCAGCAACCCGGGCACCCAGCACTCAGGGTGTATTTTATTGAATTCACTCGGCAAGGTGGAGCTGATATGGAAATTCTTATGAAGCACCTAGCGTGAAGCTATGTTGAACGCGTATCAATACAATGACAAAGGCAGACGTAGCACGTTGTTTATATAATTTATATATTATAAATGTACGATTCTAAAAGCGTGCAGTATTTAATTACATCAGGTCTGTTCAGACGTTAATGACGTCAGTCTCGGAGACCTGAGCCCGATCCGACCAGAATGTGAGTTTTTTTTACATGCAGACGGATGTGAATGTGTACTTGGAAACTATGCCAGACTGCAATCACATTGTCGACGGGGTGAGTAACTCCGTTTACATTAATTTTTTTTTCAAAAATAACTTCATTAAAGTGTAGTACAAGGTACATAATATAATAGCATCTTTAATTTCATTTAGCTCAGTTGTCTCAAGCTCAAATGACCCGCAGGTCACGATTTTTGAGACCCAAAATTTAGCTGATAAAATCTGCAAAAAGAAATTAATTAAAATTTCTCTCAGGCCACGGTGGAAGTTTTTCACGCCTTTCTTGTCTGCAAAGCAAAGGATTTCATCAGCTTTCGCACTCAACCAGGAAACATGCATCTGGCGCAGTTGCAACTAGACCTTGCTGCGGATGCTCCTCAGTGCAGCTGTCTTTTGCTAATGAAAATGGGTCATCATGGAGGGCCATGTTCGCCCACGTATTTGCTCAAGTAGAATTAGGATAACATCAGGATGGCTGACATCGATAAATATCGGTATGACATTTTATGGTTTTCTATTGATCAGCTTTTTGTATCGTTTTTTAAATGGAACACTGACGAGTCATTACATGCCTGTTAAAGAAAAATCGAGACATTAACTTTGTGTGAGTGGCATTTATGAAACTTAAAATAAGTGTTTCATATTGAAATAGCTTAATTTAAAAAGTTAAATCTACTATGCACTGAAACTGTCCCGTGTGCAATAAAAACACTAAAACAAATCTGCAGACAATCTATTAAACACATGGGAGAGACAAGTTCTCATTGTAAGTATAGGGACCAATAAAGTATGAATATGGATGAAGAATACGAACCAACAAGGAATTGTATGGTCCGTATCAGGATCCCAAATTAGTAGCTGAAACAGAAAAGTACTCCATGAACTGGATATTTAGAAAAGAATGCCAAATGACAGAGGAGTGAAGAGGGTGTACCAACATCAATTCCAGAGGAAAAAGGCTCAACAGCAAAGTCACGCTTAGATGGATGGATGGATGATGGGGATAGGGATCAACATCAGCTTGGAATCGAAGGATGGAAAAAGAAAAGTCATCAGTTAGTTCTGAGTGGAAGGCTGTGGAGAGGCCCGTATGTGCAATAGAAACCCTTGTGATGATCCATGCATGCGAATGAAAAGCATGGGACATGCATTAAGTGCTTTCATAATTGAATTGATTGTCATAAAATGGACCCAAAATGATGCATTTAATTTTGTAATTGTAGTTGAAATAGCACCCCCCCCCCCCCCGCTTCCCCTTTGCCTTTTTTAAAACATTTCTACAAAAAGAAAAAATTTTTTAAAATTAAAGGGCC